TTTTTTAATTGAAATAATATCATGAAAAGATTTTTTATTTTTTTTTACAACCTAAAACACACTTCAATATGATTTTATTTTATGGAAGATAATGAACTCGTTTCCTAAATTCATAATCAAGTCAATATTTAATTTATTTTTTAGGTTGAATCAAGAGTCAAAGACATGGATTGAGGATAGAAATATAGCTTCTATATAATTATGTACTCAGGTACATAAATTTTTTATCTATTGAACTGAAATTTTTTGTATTTAAATTTTCATCAAATTTTTTTAAATAATACAAATAAGTTGCTGAAAGTAAGTCATCTATAAGGTCTCAAAAATTTAATAATGTATTGATATTGAATTTTCTAGATTTCATTATTTTTTATTTACCATTTCCAATAAAACTGAATAAATCGAAAAGCTATTTTATAATTCTGATACTGATTCATCGGTAAATTGTAATTTGACAATAAAATTATGCAATATTTGTGCTTTTATAATTAAACTACAATGTAAACATGCAGGAAAATTCAATGAAAATGACCAGCAGATTATGTAATTAAACATTATCCATTTTTTCCATTTTTTTTAATACTGTCATATCATATACCACATATTTTACTTAATTTTATGAATTCGACGTAATTATTTTCACTTGCACAAAATATTTAATTTTTATGCAAGTAAAAATTACCAATAATAAAATAATAATAATAATAAATATTTATATAAATAAGTATTTAAATTATTTTAAATGATGGTAATTTTTACTTGTGTAGTAGTAATATATATCATTTCATTCTGAATATTCATGTATGTTGTGATTTTGCTTGTGACGACAAACTAGGGAAACTAAGTTTGAAAATTATAAAAACCAAATCATGTGTAATCATGAGTGATCACACAATTTTGTTCAGTCACAGGGTAGTGTATTTTGCTTTTTAGACCACATATGTCAAACCTGAAATTGTTCATGAATCTCAATGAAACTAAAGATGTAGATACTGATAGAATCGTAAAATGTTATTCAATCATCCATGTCATGTCCTTTGATACTCATACCTTAATCCTATATATTTTCTTACTTTATCTAAATGAAATTTACATTTCCACTTTTATTTACAAAATTTAAAAACGGCATTATATGTATCTATCGTTCTCCTTCCTGTATGTCTAACCCATGTGTAACACGTTGTTTTATGAGAGAATTATTTGATGGACCCCATCTAAATGTATAAGTCCTGATGGGACCCAATATGTTCTATTCTACCCGATGGGACCTTACGACGGCAGTTGAATACACCGTCACCGATGTTCTACTACGAGTTCTTGTAATTGCTTTCTCTTTTAAGTCCGGGTGAGGAAAAGCACCACGCCTCTTTGTTGAAGAGTGACTTCTCCCTATAGGCACTTCACGGACCAAAATACGTGACTTCGGCCAAGAGTTTTAGTAAACCAAGTAAGGAGTAAGTAGATTACGCCCATACATTACAACTGTAGAATCATTTTAGAAAACTGGACTCTTGCGTGATGAAGATTGGGAGTCATGGGAAATATGACTAACTTAACTTTGGGAAGAATTTCTTTTTTCATTGAAGTGGAAACAAAGCAATTACAAGAACATAGTTGACGGTGACCCGTTAGAGGGGTCCCATAGGGTAAAGTGGAACTTATTGGGTCTCATCAACCATTCAACGTTCATAGTCCCATCAAGTAAATTTCTCGTTGTTTTATTCATACTACTATATAATTGATTTCACAATTTACATAATTGATTTACATAATTTTTCAAAACATTTAATTTTTCTTTTATTTTTCTTTTTGATTTTGATTTTGAAAAAAGGTGAAGGTATTTTGGAACTTGCATCCGAATTTGAAATTTTATTCTAATCATTTTTTAATTTATTTTTTAATCTAAATTTTATTAAATATTTACAAAATTAAAAGAAAAGGAATAGAAAATGAATCTGTATAGGAAATCAAATTTGAGTTTCTTTAAAAAAAACTAGTAAGTTTTTAGCATGACTCTAATTTCATTCTTAAAACTGAATTATTGAAGAGTCATGTAAAACATGTGGTGTTTTGTTTCAACGAGCAACAAAAAGTATGACTCCAAGAATAGTGTGTGCAAAATAATGCAGAATTTCCAGGCTTCCAAATCTCAACTCAATACAGAGGATATATATTGGTGTCGGTAGGGTCGGATCGTTCAATCACTTTTCCGGCTCGCACTTTTGCTGATGCCACATCACATTCATTACTAGCGAAGGTGCCATGTAGATGTTCTTATAAATGGTTAGACCTATTGGCAAGGTTAGCTCTCAATACACAATAATTAATAAATAAGAATTGGCTGTCTTATGCTTTGCTTGCTTCGGTATGATCGGTCAGGAATTGTCGGATATGCTCTATGAATGATGAGTACATAGGCAACGCGTTAATAGATGAAAATATGCTTTCAGCTTGGTCGCGGTTTTCTTTGGCATTAAGCTCGAAGAATATATAGAAACCTTGCCATCGCTATTCAAAGCGTCGAGGTTGAAATTTGTGGACCACAAGTCCAATTGGAGATTTGGCTTGGACCAGAATTGGACTATGCTGACTTCTTCCGAGCTTGTGTGAGCTACAAGCTCAGCTTGGTACAACACAGAACTGGTAGAGGGTGCCAGTCGTGGCTACGACAGAACAGTGTCGTAGCGGACTCGGTCTCACATTCCACAGTTCTCGCATTCATGGATGAGAACTTTCATGTGCTGTATGCGGTCTCCCATTCGAACACTGAATGAAGTGTGCGTCACGAGAGAGTAGGGTCGCCTAAAGCCTGCTCTGATCCGTCCTCGTCAGGGGCATGCAGGGGCGAACATTTGTTGCAGCTGTAAGCGTTGACATCTGATCGCCTGGCGCAGAGTCGAAGCCTGCCACCCGTGTTGACATGCTCTGGGTTAAATGTTCAATGCGAGGTCATAGATGTCCGAAGGGGCTGATTTGTCAGCTTGCAGCAGCCAAGGAGTCAAACCGCAGTTACTGTACCTTCAGATCCAGCGTGTTGGGTTTATTGCGTAAATGCCCACACCTTCCAATAAAGTCTATCCATACTCAATGCCGTCACTCATACCCTCAATTGTGTTCAGCCTACATTGCAGCAATAGAACACTGCAAGACAGCCCTCCTAAAACTTCCTCCGATGGCGATCAAATCTATGTAGTAACACGTGACAAGGACGGTAATTGTCGCAATGGTAATCACTGCGATAGGCATTGAGTCTTCAAACGAATTCTGAAGCCCCCGACTCTGAACTGTCTCCCGTGCCTACGGCGATAAGACTTCAATATCAGATGTAGAGCTGATATAAATCTCAACTCCTTCTGTGGTAAACTCGATCTCTTCTTTTCCCGCCAATGTTTGGAGGAGAAGGCCGACAGAACTCGGTAGATCTGGGCAGCATTACAGTTACTGCATCTGTCGTGACTGCATGGATCTGCAATGAGGAGTCCTGATCCAGCTCTGTCTGTCCTCCCCCTCTGTCGGTGTACCGTGCACCATCCCAGATGCAAAAGAGGACAGTGTACATGTGACCGGAAGGACATGCGCGTGTTGACCTTTTTGAGCGAACTCGAGTGGTGGATGAGGGACTGTTTTCATCAGACGGCTCGAAATGTGAGGATGGCATATCAGGGCAGTTCACGATGGCGCAGATCATTTCAGAAGATGCGATCTTTGACTCCGTCTTTGTCGCTTTGTCGTTGACCTGAGCTTGAGCTCAGTGTGGAACTTACAGGAAGAGATAGGAGGAGAAACGAGTTTTTCCACGACGGAGATGGTTAGAGGGTGTGCGGATGATATTATACAGCCTCGAATAAGTCAATCTGCAATGCCTTCATGCTCAATGATACAGAGCGTTCTATGAGTAGTATCCCGTGCATGTATACCCTCAAAGTTTTATTCCTGTCGTCAATGATAAGGAGTACAGTACCATATTCTGTCTGGCTTTGGTGCAGCCAATTTCGGAGGTCATATATCATTTCACTCGAGGTTCGCGCTAGATTAAAGTGAACAGTTCAGGCCGATTTCTCCCGTGCTTAGAACTTGCTTGAACTCGATGTAATAACCGGATCTCCTACACGTATTAAGATGGAGTTGAACAGAGTTCGAGACAAACGTCGAGGGCTTTCTCTGCAGGTAGCTCACGCTGATTTTCAATCAAATGGAGGTTCGCATGAACTTAGCTCTTCACAGTTCATCAACAGCTCTTTTGGCCGTGGCAAAAATTCAGGAGCCTTTCCAAGTACATGTGCCTTCAAATCGGGTTTTCCAGATCAGTCCACCCATTACGTTCATGATCTTTTATGGGAAAAAAGTATCTGGGACGTTGACTAGAAGACCGATTCAACTGATTTCGACTATGTCAATGGCCGCTCACAACAGCTTGCACTTCAATTTTAGTTGTTAAGGATTGGACTCTTGTGATGGAATCAGAGGCAGGTGACCAGTGTTTTCAGGTCTGACTAAATCCCGAGTATTAGAAAGGGGCTCTGTGGGAACATTATCTCCAGTGCCAGGCTTCGGTCTCGTGATTGTGTCACGATAAGATTGGCACGTGAGTAATAATTGGGCACTTTGCAACCCAAGCTTATTACGCGTAATCGGTTAGAAGGTAATGTCGATTGAGGAGGCTGCGGTTTGACTCCAGGACTCGAAGAGATTGTCGAGGAATCTCTACTCTATGTCTAGACTCAATCATGTCGTGTACGGGATGGACATTCTGCTTAATCAGTCCTGGCATACGATTTGACTTTGCATTTTCGGGTTGCAGCACAATCCAATCTCATATCGAGATCGTCAACCAAATGTCTTATCTCAACTGAAATGCGCCTCACAGCCTTTGTATTATCCCTTTCGACTGAATGGCTTCAGTGGTCGTTGTCTTGTCATGCTACACGCTGAAATCAATCAATCATATCACTGGAGGGGTTCCGGACAAGTAATAAAACCTTCACGCATACGCCCTCTGTCCATAGAAGTCAACTGTTTATTTTTGGCACCCATCTGTCAAGTGCAATGCTCTTCTCACTCTTCAGCAAATAATTATTCGTTTTGGTCTCCGCCTGTCTGTGCTAAAATTCTTCTCGACGACCTTACTGGAGATTCTTTTCGCTGCACTTGAATCGAATGGCCTCCCTCACCTACACGACTCAGACAGTCATACAAGTTCGCCAAGGAAAATTGGACACATGAGTCGAAACTAGTCTGAGCATGGATCCACTCCACACTATTAAGAGTGATGCTGAAAAGCATGCCAATCATTCATTCTGCCGAAACATAGCCAGATTTCGGGATACATGTAGGAGTCAGACCAGGTCTTCGGGTGGATATGCTCATAAAAGGCGGAGTTTCGTAAACTGAATTTTGAACTTTGTGTGATCCCCTTGCCCATTGGCCTTGACGCAGCTGTTGCAGGAAAGTTGCCGAGCAGCTGGACGCTGCCTACGAGCGCCAAAGTCAACTTCATACCATGAGGCGCATGCTGAAAGGGATGATGTGGTCGATAAAGACAGAAGGAGCATGTATACCCGTCAGCACTGCCCCCTTTCCAGTGGACCTCGTGTGTCTAATCGGCATCGACGAAAAGGAAGTGTAAGCCTATGGCAGGAAATGGGCCCGACGAAGGGCAGGCACATCTTTCCAGATGGATTGTTGTTACTGCCCTGTTTACCAAGGCTGAAGTGGATTCCTCCTCCGGTAAGTTCTCCGCTAGCTGCTTGGAAACACATCCCACAAACCTTAAGCTAGATTCCCAAAAAATCCTGACACAGATGAACGTAGTCGTCCGCTCGTACCCACTTTTGACAGAAAGAGGTCAAGAACGTCAGGAGGAAGAGGAAAGCTCCGCGGAGCTCAGTCCACTGTCCACGAGAAGATCCAAGGGAAGACAAGAGTATTCTTCACTAAAGAAGAGAAGACAATTCGGCTGCCCTTGCTCGTGATAGGAAAGGGCTGTTCTACATTGCAAACAGAGTGTTCCAAGGGTGAAGCAAATTTCTCGGTGAAGCAAATTCGAGTCGTTCCGGTCGAAGCAGAGATTGAAACAGTCATGAACCAGTCATTTATGATCAGCGCAGTGTCAACCAGCTGAGCGAGAGTGTCGGCTAGATCCCGCATTTCAGGAGGCAGCCAAAGATGCCGTCATGCAGACCTAGATTCTCCATCAGATGAGGCCCCTTTCCGACATAGAAGCCCTCTGGTAGAACATGGACTTTCTCCCGTCAGCTTTCCTTAGCGTGTACAGAGCCTAAACACGCAGATAGCAGATAGCAGATAGCTGCCAGCTACTAATACTACAGGGCTTACTACTCGGTCACTGTGTGCATGATCCTGACTACTGGGATGCAGGAAATTCCCGGACCAGTTTCATTCAGCTCCGGTTTAAGTAGCTCGGGGTTCAGCTCGGTATGTTCTCGAGTGACTGAACTCATAAAGTCAATAACGCATTAGAGATATTCTCCAGGAAGGAAACTCCATGCGCTGCTTTTACTTACAGCACTCTGTCCTTAAAAAGGCAGTAGGCTCGCCATCATTGGTGTCCAGTATTTCCCACCTCGGAGCTCCAGAAATTGCATACTCCCAGTCGTCGTGGAGCCTCTCGCCGTCCTGACCTGGACTGGTGCGAGAGGAGAGGATGCACAGTCTCCCGGGCTCTGGCACCATAACACGGCGCTAGCTCAGACTACTCCAATTGTGTGTACAGAGACGGGTCTTCTACTTTCTGGATTTTTTATTCAGCCATCAATCAGCAGAGGTGCGCCCAGAGAGAAGCGTACTGTCCTGAATCGAGAGAGCAGAAAGAACAGCAGAGTAGCGAGAGACACAAGCGTCGATTCGAGTATGGACCTACGTATAGATTCGGCGGTCGAACACTCTGCCTCGCTCCCTGAGGATATTCAATCCTGATGACTGGCTCTCGCTTGTCCGGGAAACTCGTGGGTTGAAGGGCGGGCTAGAGGGCGGCAGGCAGGGAGAGCGTCGACAGTGGTCTAATTACTGAAGGTGAGGGTGTTGCGCCCCGAGGAATCAGATTCACGAGCATGAAGGTGAAGACAACAACTCGAACATGGGTTGTGCCAGCTACTCCAACCAAGCAGCACTGGCTAGCGCTGAATAACTTAGATAGAGTAGTGAACCCGACTTTTGTAAGCGTCATTTTCTTCTACGAGGCGGTGCTCAAGAGCTCAAGCTATGCCGAGGTCGTCGGCAAGCTGAAGCAGTCCCTGAGAGAAGTGCTCGTGGAATTCTACCCTCTTGCAGGTCGACTGGCATTGCGCGAGGACGGGCTCGTGGACGTGCACTGCAACGATGCGGGCGTCATGTTCTTCGAGGCGGTGGTCGATTCAGAGCTCGGCGATTCTGGCGCAGGAGGAGGAAGTGGAGGAAGCGGAGGAAGTGGAGGAGGAGGAGGAGGAGGAGGTGCTCAGCCTGCACCGGCACTGTCTGGAATTGAAGCAGCTCGATTGGGACCCGGGCCTACTTATCTCCCGGACCAGCTCACGCCCATGCCAGTCCTGATCATTCAGGTCACACAGTTCGCCTGCCAATCCCTGGCCATCGCCGTCAACTGGCACCACACCGTCGCAGACGGGTCATCGGGCATTCACTTCGTGAGATCGTGGTCCGAAGTAGCTCGAGGTCAAGCGCTTTCACTGAGGCCTCTGCACTGTCGCGAGCTTCTGAGACCTCGCGAGAAGCTCGATCCCACGCTCGTGCAAGGATACAGCAACAGAGGACTCAAACTACAGGACTTGGACTCGGCCGCGCAGATCAGCCGGGAGCCAGCCATCTCCAAGGTGTTCCCGCTGGGCAAGCTGGCGGTTCAGAAGCTGAGGAGCCTCGTCATGGTGGACGACGACACCACGGACATTTTCTCCTTCACCACGGTCGAAGTGATCTCGGCGTATTTGTGGAAGCTGATGGTGAGAGCGCGAGCGCCCCAGGAGCCCGATGAGCAGGCCCCGACGCGCTTCTTCATGTTCGTGGATGGCAGGAAGCGGCTGGATCTGCCGCCGGGCTACTTCGGCAACGTGGTGTGCAGCGCGTGCGCGGTGAGCACCGAGAGCGACATCCGGGCGCAATCGCTGTCGCACATCGCGGGCCTGATTCGGAAGGCCACGCGCGGCATCACGCACGATTACTTCCGCTCGCTCATCGATTGGGTCGAGCTCAAGGGCCTCACGGCGTCGCGGTCCGAGCACGTGAACTCGCTGGGCCGCGATGTCGCCGGCACCTTCTGGCTCTTCTTCCCGCTCTACGAGACCGACTTCGGCTGGGGCGCGCCGACCTTCGCCTCGAGGAATGCGCCCCCTCGCAGCCTCATCGACGGCATCAGCATGATGCCCAGCTCCCGCGGCGCAGGCTTCATGTCGGCCGTGCTCAATCTGCACAGGGATCGCATGGAGAAGCTCGAGCGCGATCCCATGTTCGGCGCGCTGCTCTCGCCGCCAGCCTCTGCCGCCATCGGCGACGCTGCGAGCGCCAGGGCGTGACGAGCAGCTCGATGTGCGGGTGTGTTGTAGTTTTGTATAAAGCTAGCGTCCGGGGATCGTGAGGGGCAGAGTCCGACGAGGAGCTCGTTCTCGTCGTAGCCAGAGTAGATAGAAAGAGAGGGAGAGAGTCTGGGAGTGTTGTGTCCGTCAAACTTGCTCTTTGTCGATCGAGTATGATTATTAATTTTACGCAATTTCTTGGATGCAAGCGCCCGATGCATGAGCCTCGGCCTCCCTCAGCTTGCCGATGTTTGGATGGGCCAAAGACCACATTCAATGTCTCTTCAGCGCCTCTCTGAGCGAATCCATTCGGGTCCGACGGGGTTTGTTCGTGAGACACGAGCCAGAGGTATCGATCGGTCTCTCTTGCACCGAGGCATGGCATGGAACGCACGACGACGGCTCCGCTCGAGCTTGCCTGCCGAGGTCTGCAAATCGAATTCCCAAGGCTGCGAGATTCCCAAGCTTCACGAACTTGCTGGAATTCGCATCGCAGCGCATCCGCGTGATCCATTCTTCGGCTGACGTCTTCTACAAGTTGTTAGGAGGGCTCTGGATTGACAGAATTTCAGTCGGTCTGCTCGTCGTACACGCCAGTGTCAGAGACCTCTGCTGTCATTGCAGTAGCCATGGTCGTAGCCTGTAACTAAAACTGCGTACACGTGACCTCCACATGAACCTCTCGTTATCGCCTCATGACGGATCCGCAGACGGACTCGTATTAGTATTCCCATCTGCGGGCGTATGTCATCGTTCTCGCTTTGTCTGATATGAAATTCCAACTTGCGCAGCTTGGGCTTCGGCAAAGTAAAGCAAACGGTGTCGACTCAGAATTTTCTATTTCCCACAATGCAGTTTTCTCCATGCTCATGCTTCCGTTCCCACCCACGAGAGAAACTGAGAATCCCTGCGACATGTTCCCGCATACTCGGAGGGATGTCGGATCCACGCCATGCCAGGATTCCGACATCGACGGGAAAAGAAATCATGCATTCATCAGAGAGTGGGACTGGCCAACGTCGTATAAAAAAAACCCACCAGATCGTATACCTCGATCCAGAAGTTGCCAGGACGGTGAGATGCAGTACGAGAATGGCATTCTGACTGCTGCTTTTGCTGCTCGGGACTCTAGAGTCTAAACAGACAGACAGACAGATCGACAAATGGAGATTCAGAGGGTACGATCGACAGCGAGCCAGCGCGCCGGCCTTCCTTGTCTCTGGGATCGGGCCGTAGATTCACAGTTCTTTCGAAACCGTACTCGTAATCTGGGCCATGTCCGTAGCTGGACGAATGAATTACGAATTAGGCAGCAGAGCAGAGCGTATAATCATTGCGGATATCAGTTTCGGTGTCAGTCGACGACGACGTCCGATTTCTCGACGTCATGCAGTCCACGCCGCACTGCCAGGACTGCGACTGCAGTCGTCCCGCAGTCGTCCCCTACGGAGTGCAAATCTGAGCGACGTCGTCTTTCTCGATTCGCAGACATGATTCTGCTAATCATGGTTCCAGCTGTGTTAGGTTCCGCAGCATTCTTCAATCTTCTTCTGTCACATCTATTCATTCATCTTTAGGCCAAGATCCTATTGATAATTCCTTGTAGCTAGCATTGACATATTTTCATGAGGTCGTTGAAAATTCACTTTCGAAGGAAAAATTGTTGAATTTAAAAACATTGATACATAAACAGTCAAAGTCTTCAATGAGGTGAGGTCTTTTATGAATACAAGTATTCATTATGTTCGTACATGTTATAAAATATTTAAACAAAACCAAAGTTTGAATAGTCATCAGTCGAAGTGGTGGAATACAAAAATGATTGTGATATTCATTGGACAATAATGCTGTATGTTAACTTCATTGGAGAAAATGTTGAACATATTTATTCCCAAATTTTGGTTAACTGTAACTTCTGATGTCATTTTTTAAGAATAACACAAAATTTTTTATGTATTTGATATAGAAATATAAATAAATGTTTATCACTTAAAAAGATGTCGAAAGATGTCTTTTCACAACATATTCAACTTCCAATCTGATAAAATTAAATTTTAATAAAAATTGTAAATTTTCTTGAGGAACAATCACTTATTAATGCTAATATAATTTTTTTCAAGCTCAATCATGATTTCACATAAAAAAATTATAGAAAACTTTATACAAATTTATAAATTTTTACTATATATTATTTTCCAAAATAGTAATATTGCTTAAGTACGTTGATGATTCATCAAGAAGCTGAAGAAGCAGATTTTTAGCTGTTGTATCTAGAACACATTATGATTTCTCAGTGAGGAGTTTGATGTTATCAGTCTATTCAGTGATGTTAACATCAAACTATCCTTGACCAAATCACAAACCAATACATGTGAATCATTCAAAAATCTAAAAAATTGTAAGTTTGCATACTACTTACCAATAAATTATAAACTGGTACATAAACTTGATGGAGGATCTCTTTAAATGTGAATTAGGACTAGATTACTAGCGAAAATTCGCGAAGGTGGTGTATTGTGACTTTACCTTCTTCCTGAAAGTGCAGATCTGTTGTAAAAGAAGTGTTTTCATGAATTTGTTTTTGGAGGTTTTGACAGGTTGTTTTTAACACCAAATAAATATACATTAGTCATACATGAAATTTTTTATTAAATTAATCATCTAAAAACATCATTCATATTGTGAAAAAAATTTTAATCTAATGAAAATGTATTGATAATATAAAAATAAAAAATGTTCGATCTGAATCAACATTATTCTGATTTTTGATACAGGTTCATGGATGAATATTTGGATATAATAACACATGTGAATATCGTGGAAACTGCAGAAACGACTCCACTAGTGTTTGGTAAGAGTACAAAACATGCATATTGGTGAAAAAATATCACAAAAGTTGGTAAGATGAGCGAATACTGCATGTTTCAGGAGCTACGGTGTATGATGACGTTCCAAGCATTTGTTGCAGAAAAGAATAAGGAAGCGCCAGTGAAGGGACAAAGAGGGTCCATACTCAAGAAAGACCTTGTAGCCAGAGATGGTCTCGTCTCTTCATTGACCGAACCCACAGCTCAACTGGGAAAGCGTCTGCTCTTCGTTGCAACTCAGTGATCTGCCACCACGTGATGCACCAATTCTCTTTTCTTTTCGCATCATGTTTTATCTTGTCATTAAGTTTCAGGGTCGAGTTTACCACTGCTTTCGAACCCGATTGCTTCAATTATTTTTCTCTTTCATCGTGTTTTTTCAAAATAAATCCGACCGACATGATTTGGAGCAGATTTCCTCTTCTTTCCTTGCTCCAGCAATAAATTCGAAGCAAATCAGGGATCACATCGATCGTGGTTTTTTGGGCGTGTGAGGCGAAGAACATCTATAGAAAAAGCATTCGGCTTCAGAATTTCCAGCATATTCTTCCCGATTCTCCCGTGACGGATATTTTGATGACTCGGGGAATTCGCTCGTGACAGTCTCCCGTGTTGCCAAATCCTGTTACAGTAGACTGAACGGAGACTGACTGCCACCTCCTGATCGGTCAGTCTTGTAGATTGCAATTGCACATTACGTTGTTCAGGCGGACAGTTCCATCGTGCGAATCACTGGTGTTCTCTGGCCAGGCTACTGCCCCTAGAGCTCGAGTCCTCACCTACGACTACATTCTGCTGTAGTGTCCGGCCGCTCTCTTGCTTCGATTAAAAAATCACGAATCTTGATGTGGTGTGGGAAGCAGTCAGCAGGAATTTGTGTGGAGAAAGGTGTTCGTTCTCCTACACAGATGAGGATCTCCGGTGACTGAGCATTGTCTTTGAGGTTGGCTTGGAACTGTATCCTGAACGGTTGGTTAAAAGCAGTGGAGTGGATGTTCAAGTGTATAACAAGAGAGTTGGCATGGCATACATCGTTGTCGATTTCAAATGGAGATTTGATTTAATCATCGATACAGAGAAATATAATATTTGGACAGCTTGACATCTAGGTTATTATCTAATAACGTAATATCTACATGGAAAACGGTGATATAAGAATATATCTATTACAGGTACTCTTACATCATTGACTTTTCTTCCTTCTCATGAAGTGCGGAGAGATATGGTTTTTTTTCTCATAGATTGATTACGAAAAATGGTATGAATGGTGAAACCTTTTGGTAGATACAATAAGAGTGAAAAAAATCGTTCTTAGAAGACGAGAAGTGATAAGAGAGATAGATATTCTGTGGGGTGAAGAATGACTGGCTTTCATGATGAATCTAGAAGAAGAAGTAAAATTGATACGAAGAAGCTAATTAATTCAGGGTGATGAAAGTTTTACTAAATGGATATTTTTGTTAGCTGTCGAATATGTTTGACAAAGAAATAACCTAGACAGGACAGATCAGACCGTCCTTTTCTTTATCCTGCCGACTGAGGGAAACATATATTGTAGAATGATGCATTCCGAGATAAAGGATCACGTCTCTAATCACGATCCAAATCGAATAAAAGCTCAAAACTATCTGATGACGATTCCCCCGGGCCTTTGAACTGATTCACTTGAGAACCACTAAATTCAACTGGGTCATGGGAAGCTTTACATGGCAATTGAACCAGGAGCTTTCTAAGGCACTTGCCTGGTGTGAATTGAGCGGTGTTGAAATTCGTGTTTACATAGGATCTGGGACCTGGAATTTAGATTCCGCATCTCTCTGAATCTCCTTCATTCCTTGCTTACCGACTGGCACATCTTCTCTAGTCTGACTCATTGGCCTTTTGGGGTCTCTGTAATCAAATTTTATTGATTTTCTAAGCGGAGTAGAAACATTCTTAGAAGAAGCCGAACAAATTACAAACAAAGCTCTCTGATTCGGTAGTTGGATCTCGAGGTAGAGATGTTGGGACACGTTATATAATCTGAGTCTATCTTTGCCCTCAGAAACGGGGGCCAAGACAATCCAAGAGGCCTTTTGTTACTGCAACTTTCTTGAAGTCAAAGTGAAGCGAAGTCCAGGGAGCTTCAGTTGCCACAGTTTAATAATAGAGAAAGTCCGAAAACAATTATATATTTAGTGCTAGAACTACCAGTTGTTTGGCTTTCGAGAGGACATTATTGGAGAGACAATGAACATCCAAACAAGGAAATTGTCTGCCTGAACGGAAATCGAGGAGCAGAACTTGAGAAAACGGTTATCATGATGGATTATATCTACCTCAAACTGTGAATGTTGTTGCATTAGTATTTGCCACGGAGAATCTGTAGGCGTTATGTACTTAAGTTGTGCGGATCTGAGAGCTTTTCTGAGATCCTTGCAAGTTTCCAAATCATGGTCAAGACTGTAGACTTCTAGGCGCATAACTTCATGAAGGGTTCAGCAGATTACTCCAAGATGACAGAAGCCTTAAGACCAAATAGGCGGGTCTCACGCTGAGTTCACAGGCTTCTACATGTCTTCACTTCAGGCTAACTAACGACGACCTTACTGTCTTACATCTACATCCACTGGAAGGAATTGATTGTGGGTGTATCCAGATTGAAATGGGTGATTTCTACGCCTCTAAGGACTTGGTTCACCTTTCTTTCCCTTATTCTCTCAGATGCAGCTTCGGTTCGATAACATCGTTATCAACCTGGATGAGAGGGAAGGCTTCATCACGGACCTCGGTCCGTCATCGCGTCTGATGCATGGGAGGAGAACTTCTGCAACAAGCATGTAGAAGGTGTTGTAAGTCCTACCATTAATCAGCAGTCGTGCAATTGCATTACGACTGCATTTTAGGCGGAAGTCGGAAGCCAGATTGTCCCAATCTGATATGGTGTCCAAGGACGGGAATGTACACAATCTGAAC